TCCAATAGGGGAAGACATGCTGTGGTCTCTAGTCCTGCTTCTAGCTTTCCTGGCTCCTGGTAAGTGTGTTTCACAGGTGCTGAAGAGATTTTTTTTTTTTTTTTTTTTAAATAGGAGGTGATACTAAGGAATGACTCATTTTTTTGTTAATTTTCCCTTTGCAGGAAGTCAGAAAGCTTCTAACTTGGAAATGAGACAGAAGTCAATCATCAAGCCAACTGACACATTTGTCTCAATCACGTGTGATATTCGGAACATCAACAACATCCACTGGTATCGATACCAAGAGGAAAGGGGCCTGCAACGCCTCCTCTTCTATAACCTCCCCAAGGCACAGCAGGTATTAGACTCAGGGTTCAGTTCTGCGAAATACCGTGCATATGAAAACGCAGAGAAGAGAGGTGTATTTGTGCTAAAAACTCTGGAAAAAAGTGATTCTGGTGTGTATTACTGTGCCACTTGGAAAAGACACAGTGATTCAGACCTCCCCTACAGTACACTTAAAATTTTGCTTGTGGCTGCCAACAGCCCTGGTACATAAGACAGACCAGCTCTTGTCTCCTCACTTCCCTCACCTGACTTCACTGTATACTTAACAATGAGAAACTCTGAGCTCAACACCTAACGCTCTGGTAGTGTAGTGGTTATGATTTGCACTACTAATCTTATCATCAGCAGTTCGAAACTACCAGAGTTTCCATGGGAGAAACATGAGGCTTTCTGCTCCTGTAAAGATGTACAGGAAACCCTGTGCACGATGAGTCAGAACTGACTGGATGGCACTAAAACAACAACAGAAACATACATAAAAGTAATTTCCTAAACAACAAAGGAAACATATACAAAAGTAATTTCCCCGGGTTTGGGGGCGGGGGGGGTGTCTATGGCCATTTACCTGAGAATAGCTGTGCTCTAAGGGCAGGTGAATGTTGGAGACATGATCTGAACTAACATTGATACACAGAAACCCAAATTGTTATTGTGGTCCCCGGTTATAGTGAGGGTCTATGGAAGGCAGGCATTTAAGGAGTTCTGGTCCAAGTTCATCTGTGTG